AATCTACCAGGCACGGATGTCATGTGAATGCCACTTGCTCCATTTTTGTAAGGCTTCAGAGGCACCAAAATACAAGAGAAGGGCAGATTGTGCCTACAGACATTCTCAACACCTTGGCTTGTTCTCAGTGGCATCTTAAGGAAAAGGGGAGTCTCATTCAGGCAGATTGGGTAGAGGCAGCTAAATTCTCTGGCCCCAATTCCCTGCTTTATCATTCTCCTCTCCTTGCAATATCCAACCACAAAGAAGCATACAAATTAGGCTTAGGACATTTTTATACCTGAGACTTAAGAAAGCTTAACATTCTTACAATGAAAATGTATGTGTTTTTTTCTTAAATCTGTATAGTCCACAAGGCGCATTTGAATTACAAATATATCTTTTCAGCTTTTTGTTCCACATTAATAACCACACATCACAGAAGTAGTGTTCACAAGTTCAAAGGGGAATTAGGCCACTTGTATTTTTTTAAAGAAGGCTATTAGTCTGAGCTCATGTTGTTTTTTAAGTCTCTTTTCATCCTGTCTAGTAGACATATCAGTAATTTGCGCCTGGCTCAATATTTAAGTGGCGCATCTTTCACTCATTCAAACAGATGGAAATCTTACCAAATTGTCCCAATTCCAGTTCTGACTGCTTTCTCCGGGGCCTGCAAACATGGTTCCTCAGTAAAGGTGCAGCAAACATGAAAATAAGACTGGCTCGCAACTGACTGGACTTAAGGGGAAAACAGGAGTATGTGTGTGGTTTAGTGGAGGAATGAAAAATGCGAAAACAACCACCAGAAGGAAAAGAAGGGAGTGAATGCCAGGTACACCTAGGAAACGGTATTTATTTAAAGCTCAGCAAATTTTGGAAAGTTATGCCTCCTTGCAGGCTCTCTTGTAATTGTAACTGTCCATAGATACCAAGTGAAAATTGATGTACAAGAGAAGAGCATCCCTGAAGAAAAAGAACAACAGAGGCAAATATACTGGAATTTTAAAGAACTCATGTAGGGATCTGTGGATTTTGTTAAATCCAGTTTCACAAATTGCTAGGCATCTTTCATTATGTCATCTTTTCATTGACGGAATTAGATTTTTCTAAACTAGAAATTTGTTCTATTTGAACATTAGTACATCAGCATAAGTGTGCATTAGCACTAATCTGAATTTGGACATACTGTGCATTAATACATACAAGTTAGCACTGATGTTACATTCTCCCCTGCCCCAAATGAAAAACCACTGCAAGACTTTTGGAATAGGTAGTCTGTTGCAGATCAGATTAACAGAAATCCAAATCTGCAGGCCAGATGCATAGAAATCCAAACTAATTTGAATCCTTGTCAAATTTCTCCAACATCTCTAACCTAGAGGTTCCCTCCACACATAACAAGAGGTTCCCTGTTGGTTTGGTGGGGCTAGGCAATGGGAGCCCACCAGGTGATGAATTTCTTGTGGGTTTCTGCATCCTTGTGCTCACTTTATCACTTAATATTTACTGCAGAAATATAGCTAGGACTGGTTTAAATCAGCCCTTCATGAGATGCTAGACACCAAAGGCAGGGGTGGGAAACACCTGGTCCTGCAGCTCCCATGAGACCTTAGAAGACAGAGCAAAAGGAGGAAATGCATTACCAAACAGGAGGACAAAAGAAGGCATGGGTATGCTAATTTATATCCAAACCGTCTCATTTCAAAATAATGAGAGCTTTTCCAGTAGAAATAGAATAGATCTTACCATGATGGGAGATACTGTGAGCTGTGCTGCTCAGGTGAATGTCCAGGTTTTGACAAGCTTGACCAGGCAACTTCAAGACCTGGTTCTCCCTCCTTGAGATTCTTTCATTTGGACTGGACAGCCCTTCACTGAGAAGATTCTCCTCTGCAAAGCAGGGCATGTGACTGCCTTATCTAAGCCAGCACAGCTAATGGTGAGGGATAAAGAGAGATACAATCTGACAACATCCAGAGGACCACATATTCCTCATCTCTTATCTAGGCTACACTCTGTGAGGAAGAGGGAAAGAGTTGCCTCAGTATAAGGGTTGTTTCTAATGTTCATATACATTGTAGCTTTGGCAGTATGCAACATTTTCTGCATCCAAACTGCCTTCTGAATAGCACCCAAAGGATGGATAAAAGGAATTTAAGCTTGTTAGAGACTATCAAGACTAAAATTGGTGAGCTAACCTGATGTATAATTTGGTTGGGTCTTCTGAACATATCTGGATTCTCAGCAACTACTTTCCACAGACTTTCCCTTACATTAAAGTACTGCCTTCTCTCCATTTCTTCTCATGCCTATGAAATGACACACTTCTTCACAAAATGCATAATTAATATATAGAATCCACTGCCACAAAATGTGTAATTTGGGTGCAGCGGCATAGGTGACAAATCTGCATATAACCTGCCTATGCTAATTTAGATAGTGATATACAAATTTAGAAATTATTCTGATGATTCACTGAACTTTAAGTCACAAAAGGCCAAGCATCCCAATTATCAGTGAAATCGACTCAAATAAAATGAATTGTTCATGGAATTTCCTTCTTGCTCCAGATCATCCCAAACCATCATAAATTTACTTTTCTAACCTTTGTCACCACGCAGAAGGTTTTTTGAAGGGTGTTTTGCTAAGCCTTCCCTGTCCAGCTGCAATCTGGCATTAAGCGGGAAAAGATCTTTCAGTTGGCGTTAATGAACACACAAGGCTCTGGGAAATAAAACTGGGGCTTAGCTGCACTCCTGCCTACTAGCTTAGATGCCTTTAAGGAGGCGATCGGTTGGACAGAGTCACGGAGGACAGTTGTGTCCCTGGGCACATGTTCAGAAGCAGTGTAACCCTGCATGTAAGGGGCTGAGCAGCAGCCAGAAGAAGACCTCTTGCCTTTAAGTTCTGCTTGTGGAATTCCAGGAAACATTTTGGCGGCCCACCAGGGAAGCAGCCTGCCAGTCTACATGGACCATTGGCCTGATCCAGCAGGTCTTTTCCCATGCTCTGGAGTTGTTCTGATAATCCTGCATGTCACGTCTGTTTCCAAAAATAGTTCAGGACTTCTAAACTTGACAGAAAGCACACCAATAGATGTATGTCTGATAGCATAAATATTAAATAAAAACAAATAAGTTGAGGAGGTGCCAAGGCAAGCTGGAATATAAACAGCTAAACCTGACTCCCATGCCTCTCTCACCTTGTCAACAAAGACTGGATCGTCAGATAGAAAGCAGGACAGTGCAGCTATCACCAGGATCTTATCATCTGGCAGCTGTTTGCTTCTTTGTCTCACTGCAAGGATTGCCCACATTTGCATGGGACTGGAAGGGTACAGACAACCATCAGAAGATTGTATGCACCAGCCAGGGGAAAGCTCGCTTACAGTTTCTGCACTTCCCATGGGTTTCATCTTCAAACCACAGGGAATTCAATGATACCTCCTTTTGAGTAGCCGTAGGAAAGGCAGGTTGCTTACCTGTAACTCTCACCTTTGGAGTGGCCATCTCTGCATTCACACATATGGGCATTGTGCCTGCACAGTGCCTATTGTCGGGAAGCTTCAATAGCTAAGCAGTCATGTGTGTGGGAGCCCCACCCCTTCCTGTCCCCAGGCAGTGTGGGACAGGCTCCTGCCCATCTCCTCAGTTCCTGTGGAGACCACCATGGGCCCCTGGACTGAGGGGAGAGAAATCAGTGAGCCAGTCAGGTCCCAAGAAGCCTTGCGACTGAGGGGGCAAGAGCTGAAGGGGTGACAGCAAGTGGGGCTGCAGGGTGGGTTGTGTGAAGGCACAGATGACCACTAGAAGAACGACAGTAAGCAACCTGTTTTTCTTCTTCAAGGTCTCTGTGCATCACACATAAGAATGACTAGCTGGCTTACCCTGTGAAGGACAGTGGGACGCTGCCATCTCTGTGCAAGAGGAAGAGGACGGCTCTGTCAAAGGAGCAGTCTGCCCTCACATGGGCATCCAGTCAGTAGTGTCGGACAAATTTTGCGGGTGTGGACCATGTGACAGTTCTACAGATGTCCTGCAGGGGGATCCTGACAAGGATGTACATGAACATGGCCAGTGCACACGTGCAGTCGGCACACGATCATGTAGTTAGTTGAAGGTCTGCCATCTTGTATGCGAGGCAGATGGTGTTGGAGACCGAATTGGACAGTCTCTGCAAGGATAGAAGATTTCCTTTTCTCTGGCCACTGTAGCAGACACACAGCTAGAACAAGTGGCAGAATGGCTTGGTTGTGGAAGGTGAGGGCCCTCTTGATGTTGAGCAGGAATGGGGTAGATGGAGATGTGAAGAAGGTGGGGAGGACAACGTCTTGGCTGAGGTGGAATGACAAGGTGACCTTGGGTAGGAAGGCTGGGTCCAGGTGAAGGACATCCTTGTCCCTATGGAAGGTCAGGTAGGGCAGGTCCACTCAGAGGGTGCAGAGCTTGCTGGCATGACAAGTCAATGTGATGGCCACTAGGAAGTCTGCCTTCCCAGATAGACAGTGCATATCCTTTGCGGCCAGGGGTTCAAAGGGTGTTTTGGTGAAGGTGTGTAGTGCTGCCAACAGGCTGGGCAAATGGGGTGAGGTTATGAAGTCCCCTCAGGAACCTGCATGCCAGGGGGTGTGCAAAGACTGACGCTTCCTCAATTGCTGGGTGGAGGCAGATGACAGGAGGCAGAGGGAATGGCTGTCAGGTGGAGATAGTTTGCTGTGAGGAGATAGCTTACAACTCCTAAAAGCCACTGAAGACACCATTGTAGAAATTGGGAAAAGCAGGAAAAAGAAGGATAGAAAGGTAGAGAGAGGCACAGGCAACTTGGGAACAGGGAATGGTGGGTAGAAGAGGGGGTAGAAAATATATATTTTTGTAGTTTTTTTAAAATAAAGAGTGAAAAACGGAGTGTCGAAGAGAGGAGAGAGAGGTTTGTTTTAGGCAGGGGGCAGAGGGAAAAGAACACTATCTGCTTAAGTGGAATAGAGCAAACAATTCCTGAACTAGACATGATGGCAGTTGAAAGGGAATTCAGGGGATGACTGGGAGCCTCTCCACACATTTCCTTGGAACAGGAAGAGGAAGGGCTCTCACCCACATGAATGCTTACCTGTAGTAGCTTCCCAACAATAGGTTCTGCGCAGGCACAGAGCCCATATATGTGATGCACGGAAACCATGAAGCGCAACAAATGTGTATAGCTTTTGCTCATGGGTATCATGTTTTTAACAGCTATAAGCAATCCCATTGGTACTTCAGGGAGTAATCATGAAGAACACACTAACTAGTCCAAACCAGAGGGCTTCTGTGAATAAAAAAATGAAACATTTTGCTGGGGTGCCTAGTTTTGCTAGTCCAGGCCTGATTCCAATATGAAATTCAGAGGTGAGCACATGGAAAAAAATGGAATTTTGCTGACTCTGAGCATGAACCACATGCTTTTGTTCCATCAGAATGAGGTAAAATCTCCCTAATAACCAATTAAGATTTGTCTGTGAACATATGAAAGCATCCGTCCATCTGTACTCTTGCCATAAGGAATGCAATACATGCATCCTTGATTACTATTATTTACTAAGAAATTACTCCTCAAGGACTTGGCAGTTCCTCATTCTCCACAAGATAATCTTTCTTTACATAATTAGCCCCCCTAACCAATCTCCATACTCCAAGATAGGCATCTTTTAATGAGCTTTTGGTAAGTCCTTCAGTGCTGCCACCTTTAGGGATGACAGGTGTCTTTGCTTCTCCCATAATGCTGTCCTCCTCCTCCTCCATCCTTTTCTGGCTGCTTCCATTTGCTGTCTCCTCTGTTGCAGTATCCATGGGCTCTGCCTCCTCGGACATCTGCTCCATTATGAATGGTGGCTGGCTTCCATCACATTCTTTCTTCTCTTGATTCTCCTTCTCCAGGTCTTCATAATTACTCTGCTTTCTGGTTTCGATGTACTTGGCCACACAGTAAATGACAGAGCCCACAGTATTGACCACTACACCCGCTATAAAGAGTTTTGTGGGTTCTACGTCACTGAAAGCCACCATGCCCACGGTGATGGTTGCAATGCTCTTCACCACCCCGACAAAACTGGTGGTTACAGCTGAGTTGATGTAGGTGCAGTGAAGGGTGGTAAAATTCATGGCGCAGCCAATCAAGACACATGCAATAAAGATGCAGGTCATGGTGGGATCTTTCCATCCTGGGAAATGCCACATATTGATGGTATCCATGCTGGCAAAGGAGCAGATAATGAGAAAGGGTGTGGCTGAGACCGCAATAACATACTGGGCAGTCAGGGGCCCGTAGTCACTATCTGCACTTGTCTTTTGAATAAGGACCAAGTACGCTGCATGCACCAACACAGCCAGCACACCAGTCACATAGCCAAAGGGATCACCTGTCAGGTCACCTGCACCTGCCAATGTTGAAAAAGAAGAAGAAGAAGAAGAAAGAAAGAAACAGGCATTTACATTTACTGGTTAGCTGCTGTTCTTGCATTAGTTATGTTAACAGAGGACAAGTTTATCAGGGCATTTAGTCAATGAGAGGCAAAGGGAACTTGAAGCAAACCAAAATGAATAGCTCTTGTCCTTTGCCACCCCTTGCATACCTCAAGAGGCAGATGAGTTGCCACTGCTGGAGGGAATGCTGGACTAGTTTGATTCAGGATTGATCCAGAAAGCCAGTTTGGATCCAGGCATTCTTATGTTCCTTAAAAGAGTTTTTGTCAGGGTTTCAAAATACCGGGATGGATCCAAATGGGTCTGGCTGCTAGTGCTACCTGTGTTGTGTTTGTGCAACACAGAAACCAACATTTGTGCAATGTCAATAGTGCTTTCTGGTGCCATGGGTGTCTTACTGACATGGCACAAGCATTGGTTTCTGCTATTGCAATATAAATAGGTCTAGCAGCCAGCTGCTGTTGGAGTCTTCCTCTTTGTCCTATCTTAGTATGGCTTGGATGGAAGACTACTCTATACTATCCCCTGTGAACTTCTTCAAAGGAAAAAGCTGAATTCCTGCCCTCTTTACTGGATTTGAATATATATTCTAACTAACTGGAAGCTCAGTAAATGGAACAAAACTGGATATTGATGATCCATGATTAAACATTGTATGATGAAAGAAAAGTCAAATAAGAATCACATTGGACCTCTGTCAGAACTATATTGTGATTCTACATCTTCCTAAATCCAGTAAGGATTCAGTCAGAGCAGAACTGCTTCATGGGAGCAGTTTTGATTTGTGCATTTATATGCACAGCTAACTCTGTATTTATACTTAAAGTATCCTTCCATAATTAGTAAGTGTCATCACCTTTTTCAAGCAGTTATATAATTATATTGTTGTTGATGTCCCACGATCATTAGGTGAATTGATCATGGTTGATAATGAGAACCTGGCCAGTTTGCTGGATTTAGCAAGTGATCCAGTTTAAGACTCAGTTGTTTTCTAGAAAAATTAGCTGTTTTTCACAAATTCAAAAGTCATGTTAGGATCTGAAATCAAGTTTATATATATGAGTTTATTAATAAGGTTCTTTACTAGCTGAATTTGTTTGTTTGTTTAAAACTCAGTTTAGATCACACTCAATAGTTCCTAGAGAAATTTTTACTCTCATCCAAGCATATTGACAGTACCAAACTCTTTTGGGGGAATCAAAAGTCATCCATCTGCTGCACTGAGCATCAAGTTCTGGAAAGAGAAAGGTTGCCAGCTTATGAACAAGTTGTAAAATCCCCACCACACTTAACTTAGGACAGAAATGACACGGCTATTCTATTTCTCAGTGGTTTCCATTCCACCTTTATTATCCAGTTTAGTGAATTATCAAGGGCAATGGGAAGCCAGTATAAAGAAAGACAAACAAACAAACACAGATTCCACCTAACTGCAAAGTGTTGAGTTTATGGGGAAGCATGACAGAAGGGAGGGAGGGAGGGAGGGAGGGAGGGAGGGAGAGAAGTGTGTGTGTGTGTGTGTGTGTGTGTGTGTGTGAGAGAGAGAGAGAGAGAGAGAGAGAGAGAGAGAGAGAGAGAGAGAATGAGAGAGAGAGAGAGAGAGATTTAATCAAACAGCACTTCATTGTCACCAGAAAGAAGGGAGACAGTGGAAATAAAAGGTGCCATCATTGTCACAATGCAGGACACAGGAATTCTCCCTCTGGCAAATATTTCAGAGAGATTGAGAGCCCAGTTCTGCAGGAACATTCTTCTTCTTCTGGATCTCACAATATATTAGTTGCAGAGCAACTCCAGCAGTAGCATGGAGTAGGTCTTTGAATCTGGGTCCATTTGTCCCAAATGTAAATGCAAATTTTCACCAAGATTCTCCCATTTACATTGTATGTCCTCAGTTACAGCAAGCAAGTACCAATGAAGATATACAGAATCCTGCCCCTTGCTTTCCTATTAAGTTGATGTCTGTAATATTTTGAATTGCAAGTGGCTGAATAAACTCAGCTGGGTAGTTATTGTTCTTCCAATATCAGCTGGCATTCACATCAGGGAAACAAAAGGACCAACTGTGCATGGTTCGACAATAGCTTGTTTGGTGGCATGATGACAGCACTGTCATGGTCTGCCTCATTTATGTTCATGTTTTGTGGGTTTCACCATGGTCAAAACAGATTGGCAGATTTTTGTGGGATTTCATAGCCCAGGAAAAGCCAGAACTAATCTGGAGAAACATAACTACTCCTGCTATGATAAATAGATATTTTGTTAAAGGATCGTGAGCACTTATTGAGTACCACCTACAATGAGCAACAGACTTCACCCTCTTTGGTTCATAGAGGACTTTTTGAACTGTTTTTCAAGATCAGCAATAAGAAGAATATGGGAAAAGACAGAGCGAATGTCCTCAAGTGCATTCGTGCAAATCCACCTTAAAAGTGCAGTCATCCACACCAAAAGATGCTAGGAATTTCCCCTAGTAAATTTCACCATCTCACTGACTTGCATCAGACTTGAACAAACGAATGCATGTTGTGGAGAGAGCAGCTAGGCAGCATCATGGGTGCTGAACGGTGGGCGATTCAGGACAGACAGAAGAATTTCTTCACCCAGTGCAAAGTCAAACTATGGAATTAGGTGGTACAAGATGCAGTGATGGCTGCCAACTTGGGCATCTTGAAAGCAGATGAGATCACTTCATGGAGAATGGAGCTATCACTGCCTAATAGTCATGACAGCAATGTGCCTCTTAAGACTGGTTGCTAGGGAGCATGAGTGGGAGGGGGCTACTCACGCACTCGTGTCCTGCTTGCAGGCTTCCCACAGGTATCTGGCTGGCCACTCTGGGAACAGATTGCCAGACTAGATCAGCCTCCGGTCTGATCCAGGAGGGCTCTTCTTGGATCCTGGTTCAGAACGGTGGAATGGAGGGGACACAGGCTGCTTCTCTGCAGGCTTCTCCGTCCCCAACTTCTTATAATTATTAAGCAGGCGATGCCAGACCAGGGTTGGTGCCAAAGTGGCAACAAGGGATAAAGTTGTTCCTGTTGGTCCACTGAGGCAATCATCTGAGCAAAGCCTGAGCCATCCAAGTAATACCAATGGATCATCCCATATGTAACCCAAATCTGGTCTCCAATAGCTGCCATTGATGGATCCATCTATGGAAATATAGCCCTAATTAGAACTATCCATCCCCAGATAAGCAAACAACAAAGAAACACAGTGGTAGAGATAGGTATACACAGACAAATATAAAACAAGCTAACTGCTCTCATTGCCTCAAGGTATATTCAGATCTCTTTGTAAATAATATATTTAGTTTCTAGTATGCATTAACATCCACCTGGCACCGTCGTTACTGGTTTTTCGGCGCCAGGTAAAGACCTTTTTATTTAAACATCATTTTAATTGTTAAAATATATGATCTGGCCAGGGCAACTTCTTCTTCCTTCTCTTTTCTCCTCCTATATTCTTTTTACTTATTTTATACTGTTAATTTTAATTTTATATTATTGTATCTCAGTGTATTTTTGTATTTAGTGGTAATTTATTATGTTCTATTGTATTTCAATGTATCTTATTGTGTTGTAAGCCGCCCCGAGGCTTCGGCAAGGGGCGGCATAGAAATGTTATAATAATAATAATAATAATAATAACAACAACAACAACAACAACTTTTGATAACCTTCCAAATTAAATAAGAATTTCATTTCCAAACTAGAAAGAATGACAACTTTCCCTGTTCTTCTTCTTCATCTTTTAATTACTCGTCTAATTTAACTGGTTTACCTACTTCATTCTTGAGACACTTTAATCCTGGTTGTTTACTCAGATTCACCCCAGCCTGACCATCTCTTTCTACAGAGCAGTGAATGGGCAATGAGCATGATAATCCAGAATGAATTCTTAACATACAAATATGCATAGATGAACTCTGCCAGCCCAATTATTCCTTGTCCCTGTCTATTAAGGCACTGATAATAGACCCCAATTATAGATTATACTGACAGCGACACTGCCTGGTAGATCCAAATTGTGGATTTTCTCAAGAGTTTTTCTCATCCTTAACAACAGCTGATTAGTATCAGACAAGCCAGGCAGCTTCAAACAGCATAGAGCTGGAGGGATAAAGAACAACTGGGAATAGCCAGCTTGGCCTCTTCAGACATGCTATTTTTCTCACACAGAGATAACCTCCATAAAGGAAAACCAAATTGATCCAAATATACTTCCACTTGTAGAAAACATGTGAGTGTATTGTTTGCTGTAATGACAGAGGCTCAGAAGCTGCTTGTGTACACAGTTGTACAACCCCTGTACCCTATAGACAGGTTCTCATGAGTGTGCACAGGAAGAAATATGCTGTGCTTTCCCACATGAAGTGACACTTATGGTGGAGAAGAACATGACAGGACACAGAACTCCACAAGGCTTGGTCCAATCTAAACAGAAAGGAAAGGGGTTGTAGTGAGTTGATTAATTTTAAAAAAAATAGTTTAGCCAAGTTATAATTGGGATGAGAGCATCTTTGTACATTTTTCCATTGATAGCAGACTGTTGGTGCACCTACTAAGCTTACTTATAAGGATAGCACACAGATTTGTATGCTGCTGTAAAACTACTCATGTATATTTGCTAGGGGGGGATCAAAGATTGGTTGGGACTCCCTGCCCCATTTCTACAACTTTAAAAACACCCATGCATGCCTTGTAATGTGTGAAGCAGCCCTCAGGCAAGCAGCAATAATGAGGAGGGCTGGTTAAGAGGCCGTTGGACAAGAAGAAACAAGAGAAATCCTGTTGATGATGGAGGAAGGATGGAGTTAAGAATGTGGGTGAGTTGCTACGGATGTTATAATGTGGGCTGAAGAAGTTGTGAGATGGGATAGACCGGTGAAGTCTTTTGGAGAATGCTGAGCCTGGGTTACGATGCTGATGGAACCAGCAGACAGTTGAAGATGCGCAACCAAATATTTGCAGAAACGGGACAAAGAATCTGAAGGGGCACAAGAACAGACTGACTCAAAGGTGACCTAAGATTAAAATAGTATGAACAACAGCTCAGGGGAAGTGATGGGGTGGAAAATGATAATGCGTCGAGAAGCAGTGCAGAATAATTTAAACAAATTCAAGCTCTAGAGATGATCCAACAATGGAAGAAGGGACTTTGGACAGAAGAGGACATGGAGGATGACAGAAGAGTCACAGGGCGATGTGGGGAAACAAATGCCGAGAGGGACAGAATTGGGCCATGCTGTTGAGAAGAGGGAGGACTGATGAGTTGAGGGACGCTGCTGAGGAGAGGGAGGAGATGTGCAGGAACAGAGGGTGTTGTGCGGGCATACGAAGGGGACCGACGTGCTGCGGGGAGGGGGGCTAAGAAAATGTGGCGGTGATGAGCGGGGCGGGGTGGAATGAAAGAGCAGGCGATGTGGGGTGAGAGGGGAGCAAGAAAAGGGGCGAGGTGGAGCAGTGGGATCGGAAGCGTGCCGGTGAAAAGCGCGGCATGGGCGGCGGAGAGCCCCGGGCCCGCGCCTCGCCCCCCGTTCCCCACTCACCTGCCAGCGCTGCCCCGCAGGTGGTGATGAGCACGGCCAGCGACACCCCGACGGAGGGGATGCCGTTCTTGAGCACCAGCACGCCGATGAGCAGGGTGACGAGGGGCAGGCAGCGCTTGAAGACCACGTACATGGGCAGGCTGAGGCCGCGCAGCGACCAGAGGGTGAGGCTGGACTGCAGCGTGGAGAGCACCGTGACCCCGGCGAAGAGGCGCGCCAGGCTGAAGCCGAAGGGCGGCATGTCCAGGACGCCCCGGCGCCGCAGCACCTCCAGGCTGAGCGCCGCCGTGGAGCTGGTCAGGCACTGCAGCAGCGTCAGGAAGGCGAAGTGGTAGCGGCTGATGAGAAACTTCAGCAGGATGTTGAGAGAGCCCGAGAAGACCCCGTGCGCCACCGCCACCGAGATGCCCAGCGCGCGGCCCCGGCACAGCTGCATGGCGGCCCCGCGGCTCCCGGGGCAGCTGCTGCCGAGGCGGAGGGGGGAGCGGCGGCGGCGGCGATGCCCTCCGCTTGCCTGCGATCCGGCCGGGCCCCGCGCCGGAGCAGCCTCGAGCCGGAAGCGGCGGCGGCGGCGGCGGCGAGCGCAACTTTCCAGGGAGCCGAGCGCGCTGCTCTGCCAGCCTGCCAGCGGGACGGCGCTCAGGAGGGGCGGGCGGGAGGGGAGCTCGGACCCGCTGGGAGATGCCTGTGCAGGCTCGGGGAGCCGCTGCCGCCCACCAGAGCGCCCGGCTCGGCTCGCTGACGCAGAGGGGGGCTGGGTGGCCGTGCGCTTCCCATTACCTTAATGAAATGGGAACAATCGGAGCGGAGCGCGTGGGCCACGCGCCGCTCTTGACCCGCCGAGATGGTTCCAGGCATGAATCATGGATCGCCTTTGTTCCTGGAAGAAAAGAGCGGGGGGAGGGGAGGGGAGGGGAGGGGGAGGGAGGCGAGGAGGGGGGATCCAAAGGTCGCGGGGGAGTAGGTGCAATCCTCTCGCCTTTCAACTCTTTCCTGAAAAAAGCAAAGAGCCGGCGTTAAGTTTCGTCTCTCCTTCTAAGCACAAAGAAACAAGTAACTCGCCTGCCTGCGTGCAACCATCCGTCCGCCGCCCATCCTCACAGCACACACTCCCAGTTTCTGACAAAGCCAAAACAGCACCCCGGGCTGCGAATCCCCACGTCCAGAGCGATGCTTTCCCGTGCAAATCCACTAATGGCACAGCATCCATTCTTATTAAATGAACATGGCTATGGTCCTTCTAAGGAAATACAAATATTGATCAACCTCGCCTAGCCGCAAGTCTTTAGCCAGCTGCAGGAAACAGGTACTTCGACAGCAGCGGCAAGAGTTAACCTTTCTGGGGAACTTCGCTTCGTCGTGTGCGCGGGCGGCTTTGGAGGTAACGTTTCGGGAATCCACGATCAAGGAAGACACCCCAAAGCATAACGCGCGAGGGCATTGTGGCGATTTTAACAGCAGGCTATCGCCTTGAACCATGCCCTGAAGAAGCCAGCCAGAAGGCCCCGCAGCGAGTCTGCGGCGGCGTTGCATCTAGGAAAGAGTATCGACTGCGAGGGGAAGCCGCAGCCTGGAGGTGCCCCGAGGGCCCGCAGCTCTACCGCCAGAGTCCCCGGAGGCGGCTGCAGCCCAAACACCCGCAACCGCGCCAACGGAACGGCTCGACGTGCCACCCAACGCACCGGCTTCAGGGTTTGGTGCTTCGCCATCGAAGGCGCAAGCCAGAAACTGGAAAAAAAAAAAAAAAGAACTTTTTGCTCCCTTTCCTGCGTGTGTTTTGACACACTTTGAAACAGGAATAGCATCGAGTTATACACCGGTTTTTAAAAAGTCATTAAGAGATCGTGACTGTGGGCAGGGAGAAGGCAGGCGAGGAACATGCATGGTGCTTTTAATTCGGTGGATAAAGAAATGCTCTCTGGGTGGATCACAATAGCTAATTTTTAATATATATATAAAACCTACACAGATTAGCTGCTTTTATCTTGGATTTCTAATGGGTCAATACACCGAACAGGTGTTGATTCATTAAAGTGCAGGACCATGATAGGAAACGTGTAGCTCAATTTGATGAATGTTTATTCCAGAGTCCCACTATCTTCAGCAGCCTTTAAGGAGATGAATCCAAACGTCAGTGTAGCCCCAGCATTCTGTTTCCAGCAGCCCAATTGATCTGCGAAGTCCACAAGCAGGGCATGATTAAGGAGACACAACTCTTTCCCCTTGTGCACTCCTTAGCAACGGGTTTCAAAGGCCCACTGACCACACAAACACACCTGATCCTCCACAGACACACAAACCTCCGTGAACCAGTGCAATCCCCATTTGTCTAAGCCAGTGGAGTAGGGGCAGGGTTCCTGGCATTTCCCTCCTTTGCAAAGAAGGGTAAGGGAGCACACACCTTGCAATGCCACACACATGGAGTCCATCTGTAAACCTGATAGCTTGCCTGATTCCCTGTCCTGGCACTTTTCCCATTCCAGAGGCCAACAGTGTGCAGCAGAGAGGGGTCACATGAGCAGAGCCTGGGCTTGTCTGAACTAAACACTGCAAAAGAGGGGTTTGGAGCTCCCCACTGTCAGTGGGGCAGTGGTAAAGCCCAAACTGCAGGCTCCCAACATGACAGTCCCCATAGACAGAGCTCCAACAATGGCCCAAAAATGCAGGAGCGCTGATGACCCATATCAACACACCAGTTCTAGCAGCTTCCCTTTGCACTAGAAAACAAGACTATAGTAAAGCTAAATGGGTCTTATAGTAAAGCTTGCCCTTTCAAGAATAAGCAATCCTAAAATATCTGTTTTACCCCAAGGGTGAAACAGTGGCTCCAATTCTATATCCACCTGGTTTTAGCTTGATGGTCAAATGAACTATCCATGGTGCTGAAACCCGCCCCTATTCCCTCGAAATTGGTTCAGCGTCGTGAGTAGCTCCGGGAAAACTCGGACTGGAGCCTGGAAGGAGACACCGTCCAGTGACATTGGAGCCACCAGTTCTCATCACTCACAGCAAAGTATTATTGCTGGTAAAGTCTGTTTTCTGATTAGCTGCTGTGCTGATAGCAGCTAAGCTCAGAAGGAACCAGGAACCTGATGGGATAGCAGATGACATCATCAGCTGCACTAATCAAAGAGTCCCGGCATTTTGACCCTGCAAGCCCTGGCTGCAGTACACCACTGCTTGCCACGTTGCAGGTGTTGGCTGTGCAGTCCTGTGATTTGTAATAACTGCAGCAGCACAGTGATTTTCAACCCAGTCATCTACGACTGCGCAGTTTTTCTGGCTAGCATATTGGGCATGGAGTTTCCCTGGCAATGTAACCCCTATAGATGAGAATCTCCCTTGCACCCGATGCACCAGGAGCCCGTCCTGAAGAAATAAGAATTTCAAGGGGGTGGAAGAGGAAGAGGGGTCCTGAGGCAGTTGTGGGGATCTGCGGAAAAAGTGAAAGAAATTGCTAAGTCGATTGGGCATGCACATGGTACGTGTTTGCTCCTTATTCCATTCTTTCCATCATTATTTAGACGTTGCTGCAAACACCTGTTTCTGAATCTTCCATGTCTTGAGAACTCTTAATAGATGCAAAGGAAGGAAAAGAACCCAGGCATTCAATCTCCATCAAGAAGGGACAATCAGTATTCAATACTCCATCAGTATTGTCAGGCCTGGCCCAACATTCTTTGCTATCAGAGGCAAAGGCCGAGATGGCATCTTGTCCCCAGGTAAGAAGCAGCAACTGCCTGAACTGCTAAAGTCAGCTGAGTCTTCCTTCAGCTCTGGCAATAGGGTGGTAACCTACAGGGGTGGCATCAAGTAGCAAAAAAGATCTAGGGCACAAGCCCACAGGACAAACAAGGTAAAAGCACAGATTCATTCCTGCTTAATTTACATATATTCTAAAGTGTATGTGTGTGTGTGTGTTTAAAGGACGTTGTCTCCTACAAATATTTGTAAAAAGGAAAACGGGGTATGGTGAGGCCAGAGGAGAGCATTTAAGTTCAGGAAACAAAACCTCAGGCAGCAAGATTTGAAGAGGCAGCAGGAGGGAAAACCCATGTGGGCAAAAAGCCAACAAACCCAGGTGGAACAGTTGCAGCTGTTCATCAGGCTGTCTGTGCTTTTATTTATGCAAGTGTCCCTGGACAGCAGGGCGGGGGCACGAGGCATCCCCGAGATGCAGGGCTCCAAAGGGACAATTCAGGGCTTCAACCCTAGTGATCTGCCTTCTGAAACTGCCTCCGATGTCTTTCACCATTCCAGAGGCAGCAGGGTAGTTTAGGGGGCCCAGGACATGTTGTGGGGTACACAGTTCTATCCTCCAACAGAGGCAGCCTGCCAGCCAGGGAATTAGGAAGGACAGGCCCCAGGCCACTCCCGGCATCTGCTGCTCATGGGTGTTACATTACCATTACATTTTGGAGGCAACAGTGGGATCCCATGTTCCACCCCCTGCTTTTGGTCACCATGGAGAGAGGGCAAATTATAGAAAGGTGTGAAGCAGATCCAAGACAAACTGTGATTGTGGGAGGCTTTTATAAAAAGACTGTCTAGGCTGCAATCACTGTGGATATTTTAAGGTATATTACTTACCATGGCAGAACAGATCAAGAGACTGACCAGAAATGACATGCTTTATGCTCCAGGTCCTTAAAAGTGTGATGCATATTGTGTGGCTAATTGGATGCTTGTGGGCGGAAGTAGCTCTGAAAGGACATTGCAAGCAGTTGCAAAGTATTCTCCACTCAAGGTCTGAAGGGATGGCTTTGCAACAGGAGGTGAAGCGTCAAAGAAGAGGGGGGCTTTGTTCTGCAGCTGGCCATGACCTTGCCTGTCAGAAAAGACTTTCCCTGGGGCCATTATCCAGATCATAGGACCAGCAGCAGGGGATGAACATGGCAGCGATCAGAGACTGTGCTGTTTTTCAGGGACAAGTGTGGCTAGCATATTGACAGATGGAGGCACAGCCCCGTCTGGCACATGAATTCACACATACAAGAACAGTTTCCTCCAGCATGGAGGCTGCGAGTGCATCCCATCCAAAGAAAGCCACAGGACTGAGAGGGAAGTGAAACTGCCATATAAACAGTCTAATATCTCAATTGGCAGGCCTGTAAATACGGTGCATAAAACCAATTATGTCAATAGATATTAGGAAGACCGACCATCACAATTTTGAGAAGGAAGATGTATACGGAAAAGCAAGCAAGCAAAACCAGTCCCGATGTTACATATCCTTATGAAGTTTTATTAGCTACTGGTACTTTGCTGGGACATCAAATACTAAAGGGATGAAAATACAGCCATGCAGATGAGGAGGGTCCCTGTAATTATTCAGTGCACCAGAGAGGCCTTTTCAGCATCGCCATTTCCTCTGGGACTTGCAGTCCAACACACCTGGAGGGGAGCCGGTTGGGAAAAGAGGCACCAGAGGCTTCC